AGTTATCTCACTACCCTAAAGAGGCCAAGATAGTTCGGTTAAGGTTCCTAAGGTCTGTTGATGCTTCACGACACCACGCGGAGGCCCCGTACTCTCCTTGACTGAACTCAAGGGTTACCGGTACACACCAAAGTGCCACATCAACGTAGCAGACTGTTTCAACCATGTCGGTATACCCCGCACAGTTCCCTCACAGCCTTGTTGCTACTTTCTAAGAAGGGTATCCCCCAGATCCGGGTTAGGATCTATAGAACTCCCAAGACAGTCCCACAATTTAAAGCAAGCAAAGCAATACAATTGAAAACATAGTTATGACCTAGCCCTAAGGTACACCCCACTTTAAGTATTGTCCCCAGCAGAGTCGCCAGTTCTGTGATCGGTGGATCTGGAACTGACTGTTTAACGCTGGTTCGCGAAATGTCACGGAAGCAAGAGTCGCCACCGTCTTTTATTTTCTCCCAATGGAAAGGACAAAAGCACAGAAAAATTCCTTAAAGAGATTGCTCTCGGTTCGGGAGGTAGGTTATAGAAAGGGAAGGTGTTAGCACCCTTTCTATCCATGGTTATCCATGGGCTCTTAGGTACTTGCTCATATGTGTTTTCAAAATGGTTTGTTTGCTTTTCAGCTGTGGGTTTTGAAAAAAGTTTCTTTGAAAATTCCAGTTCGACTCTTGTATCGGTCCTCAAGAGTGTTTGAAAAATTGCTTTCGAAAGCTTTTTGAAAAGGTGTCGGTGTGAAAAGTATTTTTTGATTTGTTTTTGAAATTAGAGCAAGTATCTACGAGAACCTACCTACCCTAAGGAATTCGTCTGTGTAGATGTCCTTTAAAGTAATGCCATCCCACCATTGAGAGGTAGGTAGCACCACCGTTGGAGGTGTTCGGGTCAATTCGAGTTTGTAGGGACATGGTGATCACCAGAGCAATAGGAAGACACCTTAGAAGCTACCCTCATGCCAGGTTCCCGGATCATGAGGACTTACTAAGACATCCTCTACTCGACGATCACCTTTCGAAGGCAAGGCAACAGTGAGGCGTACCCTAGGGGTGGTGTGTGCGATTCGTGTGTCGTTTTCATTTGTATTTGTCTTGTTCATGTCAATTGGTGTTCTACGCTTGATTTTAATTAAGTCCATACATTCTTTCATGCTTTGTTTAACAGTTAAAAGTTGCGAGGAAAAAAGTAAATCTAAAGCTATTACAAATGGCGCGGGTCCACATCGCCAAAATTTAACCGGACCCGATTTGACAGAAAAATAAATAAAGCAAAGTAAATAAAGAAATTGAAAAGAGCGAGAAGTTTAAGTTACAAAGCTTTGGGAGAGGTACATAATTAATTAAGCAAAATAAAAATAAATATGCGAAATTAAATCGAAACGAGGGCGTTGGACCCTTTTGCAAAATTAAATTAATATGATGGAATTAATTAAGAGAAAAGAAATTGTTTTTGTTTTTTAGTATTTTTATGATTTTTAAGATTTAATAGAAAAAGAATTAATTAAAACTAAAATAAAATGTTAAACCTAGGTCTAATTATTTTTTAAGTTATTTAAGAAAAATATTGGAGTTTTTAACCTAATTTAAACCTAAGCTATTTATGTACAATTTAATTATAAAAATAAATAAATGTTATTATTGTGAAAAAGAAATATTAAAAAAGAATAAAAATTAACTAAACCTAATTCTACATTTTTTTTAGATTTTATTATGAAAAGAATTAATATTAAAACCCTAATTTAGACTAAGTTTATTTATATACAATTATTTACAAGAAAATATTAAAATAAAATATTTATTATATTTTTTTGCCTTTTCTGTTTTTTATGATATTTTTATATTTTTTGTGAAAATAATTAATTAAAAAAAACAACAAAACAAATAAACAAATAATTGACAATAAAATAAAACATAAAGAAAATTGAAAAAAAATTGCAAACCAGGGGGGGTGGAAGTCCCCAATATGGAGGTTAAGTTTGTGAAATTCTGGCCCATTTAGTATAGCCTCATTGGACTTTTCAGAATCACGTGTGGTGCGTTGACTTGCGTTTATGGTGTTCACCACTTGTGCACCTTTGGATTGCTTCTGATGGACGCGTGGCTGTTGATCTTTGAGCGTGCATGATAATCCTCAAGGTAAGCGCTGCATAGGAATTATTATGGAAAAACAATATTGAAATATGCAAGACCTGGGACTTGAACCCAGGTCATGAGGGTTAACAACGTCACACCTTGCCAGCTGAGCCACTACGCATGTATTTAATATATAATAGTTAACAAATATTATAAAAAGAAAGAAAAGTCTATGGTTGGAAAACGCGCGAAATTTAAACGTGCCAATCAACGCGTGACACGGCTTCATCGTCTTCACCATCCCTGAAACACAAAAGTAATATGCAACGGTTTTCCACGCGTGGGTTTAGGCATGCTATTGGAAAATAGCGATTAGCTCTCAAATGGTCATAAATTGGGCGCGAGCATGTTGTTTTCTTCGTCCAGACCTGCTGAATCCAATGATGGTGGTCTTGAGTCCTAATTTTTCCCTTTTACAAAAGCCCTATTTTGAAGCTCTGTAAACCCTAGAGATCGACCATGGTGAAATCTCATATACAGCATAAAAATCAAATTGAATGCATTGGTTAGCTTCAGGACAAGATGATAAACATGAATCAACAATTAAATTTCACAAAGAATGCCTAGAATATGATATACGATTAGGAGTTTTTTGCTGTACAGTTTAAGTTCAATATACCAATTCTTGAGGTTTTGATGGCTGTGCTTGATTGGAACGTGATCAGTAGACCTTGAGGAAGCTATTGGAATAGAAATTGTGCTTTGAAATCACCTAAAAAGCTGTTTTCAGAATTGAGTTTATGGAGAAAAATTTCAAGTTTGTAATGGCCTTTCTTGCGCAGCTGAGAGTCTATTATCATTAGGTTTCTCATCAGGCATATGTAGTGAACAAATTAGGTCAACAAAACTCAACCAAATCCAATGCAATAATGGTTTTGAATATTTGATTTCTAAGGATCTTTTTTCAATCTTTTTCAAGTGTTCTTTGTTCTCAATCATGCCAATCAATCCAATTCTTTCCTAATCAGCATGTGCACGAAATCTTGATGGCAAAACATGTATAAAAAGATTTGTTAGGTCATGTTAGATATTTTTCATATATTTAAATGATTTAAATGAATTAATATAAATAATAATTCAAATAAATAAATAAAAAATGAGAAAATACTTCCCTTTGGGCCAAGTGGTCGTGTACATGTCATGGATGATGAATCATGGAAGAAAAATGGGCCCATTAGCAATTTTAGGTCATTTGAAGTAATGTTGACTTTTCAAAATATCCAAAAATTTCCCAACTTCCACAAGGCATAACTTGCTCAATTTTTAAGCTTTTCTCATGTTCTTGGACATTTTGGAAAGGTCTTTGAGTCCTCTAACCAATGCCTTTGGTCCCATGTCATTTTGATTTACCAATCTCAAGTTATGGCCTTTGACTTAAAGTCCCTTTTTGTTGACTTTTGAAAATGACCTATAATGTTGAAATTGATAACTTTTTGTGAGAGCATTTCTTGGACTTGAAGTATGAAGATGAGTTGTAGGAAATGTCTTTCTCTTCAAAATGAGCTTTGGATGGAATTTTTCTGATAATCCATGTGAAAGTTATGCCCTGGTCAATTTCAGTTGACTTTTTCAACTGTCCAAATAAGGAAACTTTTGCATCTTTGATGATTTCTGAGCCAAATTTTGAGAATCATGATCAAGCATTGATCAAATGATGTTTGTGGCTTCAAAATGACATGTTGACCAAAAATTTGAACTTTTGACTGTCAAATGACCATTTTACCCCTACAGTTGACTGTAGTGCAATTTAGGGTTTTGACTGTGCAATTTTGAGCTGAATGCCTTGAAACTTGATATGAGGATGCTTGACCATATTTGTAAGCATGTGAGACTTGATTGGGCCTTTGAAAACTTCAATTTCTTGATCAGAACACAAACCTAGTTTTGACTGTATAGGAGCCCTTTGCACTGTGCAACCCTTGGGGAATTTTGCAGCTTGGCTTGGCAATTTCTTGAAGAATGTGGGAGGGCAAATTTTGGGGTACAACAGGTGCTAATACCTTCCCTTTTCATAATCTACCCCCCGAATCCACGAAATATCTCAAAAGGTTTTTGCTGTGCTTTTTTAAACCTTTCCTTTAGGATAAAATAAAAAGTCGGTGGCGACTCTTGCTCAACTGCACAAGTGCGAATACGAACGCAAAACACTAGTCAGTTCTCCCACCGTATCACAACATGTGTCTCAGTGTTTCTTACAATTTGACTCAAAGTTTGGCATTTATATGAATAATAACAAAATCATTCTATGTGATTATGATTATCTTAAGACATTAAAGTTCGACTGTAAATCCTATATAACTTAAAGGAAACTATCTGGATATTTGCAAGAATGTAAAGATAATGCTAATAAAGAAAGTTTAACATAATTTGTTAAAGATTTGACTGGAAACGAAAAAGGAATAAGGAAAATGATTAAAGTAATTTTGTATTGAGAAAAGGACTTTAAATAAACTGATGGTGTTCTTACGCATACGTTATCAGCAAACTCTTTTCTCTCACTCAGGTACTTTGAGTATAAAATGATTTGTATACAATGTGAACACCCTGAATCCTAACATCTAAGACTCCTATTTATACTGATTCGACCCTAACAGCCTTTCTATGAGATTATGCCACGTTCGACGTTTTCAAATGCATACATTCTGGCGCTTCCACGTGTCCTCCTGGCGAAAACGCATCAGTTTGAATTTTAAACTTTTCCCGCTCGAAGCTTTGAATTCATCTGACATGACTGTCGAAGCGATCTTCATTCTTTTGACTTTGATTGGTCCTTCGATATATCGAACTATAAAAATAAACTTCATAAAATAACCTTATAAGGTCAAATTTCATGTCATCCTTTGAAATATGATTTTCTCAAATCAACTTTCATCAAATGTCGAAATCTTCAGCTAACACTACCTCTAACATATTAGCCGCCCGACCACCGAGGTAAACCCTAGCTCCAGCGATGAGAGTTCCTTCCCAGACGAATGGTCTTCAACCTCGCCCAGAGACACATTAGAAAATACAGAAAGTTCAAAGCAAAAAACCCAGAAAACAATCCAGTATCGTCGGAAAATTCATCATAGAATGCTGCTATCGGTTCTACCCCCATGGAACGTCAAACAAACCCACGATAGAGTCCATATTCATAGGCGACAGAACCACTGAAAGTCTTCCTATCTAAAGCTAATTTATCCCTAACCACATGCATCTATACGATCACAAGCAAAATCTAACCTAAAAACAGGGAACATTTTGGAAAAAACAGAAGAAAAACAGTAAACCTTACCAGGCTAGAGAAAGTTAGCGGCGAAATAAGCAAAAACTACGGTGGTGGATGACGGAAAGGGAAGAAACTGCAGCGGAGAACAACTGCATCGAGCAAAGATCAGAACCGAGCAGGGAAAACGAGCAAGCGAAAAGTGAAAATAAAGCTTTCTCTCTCCCTTTTATAAACTAACTTCGCTAGCGCGTGGGTAGGTACGCACCTAGAAAAACCTAGGGGTCATCACCATTACGCCCCAGTCCCTAGACTTGCCATCATTGCACCTTTATGACAGCACATGGCTCGAAGAACACATGACACACCACCTCTCAAAGGTCCAGTCACCTATTCGGCTCTCCGCACACCGAACACAAAAGGACCACGTTCGAGCTCCTCAACACAGTTGCCCTCGACTCCTCGTGGGTTGACTCTAAGTCATCACTCATACGCCTATGAGCAACGACTTGGAGGGCTCATGTTCTGGACTAGCCCAATAACTGGAATTGATCCAATCCGCTTCTACCCTTGGCACATCCTAATAACATTTTCCCAGCATCCTTGGTCGACCACGCCCTCAAGAGGCACGACCAGCGATGCCTGATACGCACACCTGCCCATAAGGGCAACAAACTCCCAGTCTGCACGACACACGAAGAGTAGACACCAAGGAGACGCTTATAAACGCTTATGCCCCATCATCTCTTCCTTGATCAATGTAATGGCTAGTTACGGGCACGACTGCTCGTTTTGACCAGGTCCTGACAGTTACCTATTTTTGTGGACCTGCATATCTAGGCTCAAAAATAGGGACCAATGGCCAAGCATCGCATCGGGGGCACTATATAAACCCTCACGTATGTGAATGCCATATATCCAATATTCAAACCTAAAATCCTAATATCTTTCTTGCATCTATTTGCACCCATTCTTACTTGATCGTCGGAGTGTCTTGCAGGTCCAACCCCCATTTCTCCTCAACTTTCCAGCAAACCAGATGTGATCCTTCGGCTCACTTGCAGTTTTTGATCAATTGGTAAGATTAGTATCAATTATCTTTTCTAATTTTATTGGTATTGTAATTTTGTTATTGAGCTCTAGACTTTTCTTTATCTTTTATCACATATAAAATTTATATTTTTCTATCTTACTTTCGTAACTCTATTTATTTTCTATTTGATGTTAAACATAACTCATCCATATTTTTAGTTATATATTTTATAAATTTTATTTTAAATTGTTAAAAATCTATAAAACATCAAAACAAATAAATTATATTATATATATAAGTTAGAAATCTAATTCATATAAAAATCATTTATATTAATATTTTTTAAATTATATTAGTTATCATTGATATTTACAAGTGTACGTTTAATTTGAGGAAAAGTTAAACAAAGCATAAAATGAACATTTATGCACATTTATTAATAGTAAAAAATGAATAAATTATCTATTTAGTCTATAAACCATTTTTAATTATTAAAATTAATTAAAAAGTGCATAAATTGTTTTTCTATTCAACTATTTAATCCATTAAAATGATTAAATAGTTAAATGAAATAATAATTTAGAAATCACTTAGTTAATTTTAATTATTAAATTAAATCGATTGATAATAATTTAAAAACTAAATTGATTATATGTTTTTAAAAAAAGTGACCCCACAATATTCAAACACAAAAAAATTATAATCTATTCACAGTAATATATCATTATTAGACTTAAATACATTTTGATCTTCTACTTTAATAATTTTTAATTTTTACTCTCCAATTTTGCAGATATAACAATAATAGTTTGAATAAAAAATATGTTTTTTAATGACTTAACAATAATAATTAGGACAATTTGTTATTAATATTTTAGTAAATTGTTATTTTTAATATTTTAACTTTACTTTGGGCCTACTTTGATTCTTTAATTTTTAAAAGGGTCAATGTAATTTCTTATGTCTTTAAATTAGAACGGTTAAAATGAAATATTCCATTGAAATGGAGCGGCTCTGTCGGATCTCATGCATTTTTTTGACCGAACTAAAAAAGTTGGGTTGTAATATAGATTAAAAAATTACTATCCGAGTTTGGTTTTTTACGGGCTTGAGACTAAACAAGTTATTTTTTTAAAATTGTTTTTAAAAAATTAAAATAAAACTCTATAATATTTTTATAGATACAAAAAAATATTATTTTTAATATAATATTTTCTTAAGTACAATATTTTTTTAATAATATATTAATATATGTCTAAATTAGATAACATTAATATTAATAAGAGAAAATAATAGAATATGAGAAATTGTGAAGTAAAACACAAAATAATTGAATATTTGTTCGAGCATATTAATGTATAATATTTAAATAAATAAAAAATAGAATAGAGATAAAAACATAGTGAAATGAAAATATCAATGTGTTATTTTAGAGTGATACAACATAAATATTAATATTTTTTAAAATTTATATACTAAATAAGTCTAATGGGCTACCCACGACCGTATAGACTAGTCCTAATAGGTAGAAAGCTTTTTAGGACCGAGTTAAAAGGCCTTAAAAATATGGGCTCTAATTTTAAGGTCCTTATAATCTTTCGGGCTTGGCGGCTCGACCCATATAGACTATCTCAATTTTACGGCTCTACTTCCAACAACGTCATTTAAGTATTTTATGTCTAATTTTCACAAAAAACATCAATTTTTGCATGTGAGACATCCGACGTGACATGTGTTCATACACGTGGTATATGTCCATTGTAACACTCTTCTACCTCCATATAATTAACAAATTAATTAATTATAATTACACAACACTAGGGTGTCACATTTCATAAAAACATACACACATATCCTGCTTCGTAACACGGATTACAACAAAATATTTAACTTTTCAAACGTACACATTCAGAATGTTTACACGACATCAACACTCATATGAAAATACTGCAGCGAAATCAACACCAAGAAATTTAAACGTAAAACAACAACACACTTTGAGTCTTAAACTTCAACTTTGATAACATTGATAAAAGTGTTGCCAACACTCAACTCAAAACATCGCAAAATAGCTCAACAACATCATTAGCATTTGACTCTAAAATAAACATAATAGTCCAAGAAAACCAAACGTCAATCTCCATCCGATGTTACATGAATCAGAGCAGAATTCCACTACATACAACGATAAACTAAAGAGAGGAGAATTTAGCATGTCACCCCACATGTATACATGGTGCACCCCCTCTCAATTATGTATGTTTTTACCACTATACCCTTGTGAATAATCACCAAATTTAAAATTAAAAAAAGAGTTTTACTGGAAATTTTAAGAAAATTCCGATTTTTTTGAAATATCCGAAGAAAAATTCGGAAAAACATGAGTTTTACCAGAAATTTTGGGGGTATCCGGAAATTTCAAGAAAATTTCGGAAAAGAATTTCAGAAAATTACCAGATTTTTCGAAAAATCTGGTATTTCATTTTTCGGGGAAAAAACAAAACTTCTTTTTACACTATCGGAAATTTCAAAATTTTCAATACAGTACCGGATATTTCAGTATATTTTGAAATTTTCAGAAATTGTTTTTTTTTTCAAAATAAATAAATCAGAAATTTCACAAAACTTCTGGAAATTTCGAAAAAACTATGGGAATTTTGCGTTCTTATACGCCTCCCAATTTGTTCGGGAACATTTTTGAAATAAAAAAAAATTGGGGTTGCCATGTATAATTTGAGGCGTGTCATGTTAAATCCTCTAAAAAGAGTCTTCAATAATTAGCTTCCACTTACTTTCACGGAATCTACTCTTGAGTATCTACACGTTACCTATGTGGAGACAACATTCAAATAGAAAGGGTGAATAATCATAATCAATTATAAACAACATAAAAAAAGATAGTTTGCATCAATTATTTACAATCACTCAACAACTTCAACTAATCATAAACTCACACTCAAACATCTTAAACAATTCTTATACAACCTATCATCACAAAGCTAAACGCATATTCACGTAAATATGCACAAATATCATAACATCATGTAGCACCAACAGAATTATACAATGCCACATAGAATATTAATGCAACATCACCGACTCAATGCATCTGATATCAATTATAAGTTCATTTCGTTCTCAGTTCTATCACCATGGGATACAAGATCCGATTTGATTTTGGGAAAAATGAGTGTCATTTACTCTATTTTTAATTGCATTTTATAATTTAGACTATACTTAATTGATACAATGAAATATTAATATAATTTTTATAATTTAGATTATGCTTAACAATTGATTTGATACAATGAAATATTAATATGCTGATTTCTTTGCATAGGCACCAAGATTCCTATTAGCTTAGATTGGTAGTTTTGACAACATTTATTATTGGTGGATCTCTTTTATGAAAAACAAACTGCAGGCAAAGGTCAGAGACACCTCTGTATTTTGACTGAGGAAAAGAGGAGGTCCCAGCAAAATAATATGAACACAAGTATGACAAATATAAACACTATTCTTACTCCACCAACAGTGGATTTACTGCATCACTATGAAATAAGGACACTTCAACAAGTTACATATAAATCCAATCACACAAGTTCAATGGAATCTTGAAAACAACACACACAACAAACATTAGATACTCTACAATCACAAAAAAAGATAACTAGCACTTCAACAATCTAGCACATTATAACTGTATTTCAACCATATCAGTATCAAGCACAGTGGCATTCTATCGGGCCTCTAACAATGAGATTGAAGCTTCATTTATTGAACCCTCCTTTGAAGAAGATTCCGTGCTACTTGTAAAATCTCTTCCTGCATAGAACCCGGGTTTACTTGGTTTGGGGAGTAACTTTCCACCCTTCAACATAAAAACCACAGATGACATGTTAGGCCTATTTTCTGGTTTCTCTTGTACACACAATAGAGCAACATGAATACAGTTTACTATTTCTGAACAAATAGTCACATCATATAATGTTTCATCCATTAACTCCAGTGGCCTATCTTCAATCCATAGCCTCCATGCCTAAAATGAAATCAAAGTTACAGCAAGGTTGAGCTCAATCCTTACACAAAAATCATTTGATGTTATATTTGATAAATGCTTTTTGTGTAGGTATTGTGGAGTTTATTTTCAACTATTTGTCTTGATATGAATTAGTATACTTTTTAATTTTTTTACCTTCCAGAAGATTTATAAAAACAAAAAAGAGATAAAGAAAGCAACTAAAAATATTTTCAAAAGATAGACAATATACACTTCAAAACATACATGACCAAGAAGGTTCAGATGATGTATAGGGTCACAAAATCCGCGATTCTTCCTCCTGCTAATTATCTCAAGTACCACAACTCCAAAGCTAAAAACATCCGATTTTATCGAGAAAGATCCATGCACTGCATACTCTGGAGGCATATATCCACTGCAAGAAAAAACATTCAAGTTGGAAAAAAAACGTATCAAAAGGGGCTGTGAAATAGCAGAGCTGAAGAATTAAATTACTTTTCCGTACCTGCAACATACAATACTATAACATGATTTTTCAATATATAGTCCCTTAATTTTTTTATTTATTTAGTCTGGATATCCGATGTATATTACATTGACTGAAGAGTTATTTAAGCCATAAATTGAAATAAGTATGTCGAAATTACTATGTTCCCATCACTCTATTTGTATTAGCTTCGGCTTGATCTCCCATAAATGATCTGGCTAAACCAAAATCTGATATCTTTGGGATCATATCAATATCAAGAAGAATATTGCTTGTCTTGAGATCTCTATGTATAATTCTAAGCGTAGAATCCTGATGGAGATACAGAAGCCCCCGAGCTATCCCATCAATAATTTCCAAGCGCTTTGTCCAATCTAGTAACTTATTTCGCGCAGTATCTAACAAATGACACATTCTTAAGTTAGGATGAGAACTACATTATGCAAGAGAAAAACTGAGTGCAAAAAATATGGTTGGTGTGAAAGTTCAGACCAAAAATAAAGTAATCCAAGCTTCTGTTGGGCATGAACTCATAGATCAACAACTTTTCATCATGTTGGATAGAGCAACCAAGAAGTTTTACAAGATTTCGGTGTTGAAGTGTTGCCATCAATTTTACTTCATTTTTGAACTCCTCGGTACCTTGTCCTGATGTTTCAGATAGCCTCTTAACAGCAATCTCTTGGCCATCTACCAATATGCCCTAGTAAATTTTTTTGAAATCTTAGTACTAATAGTAATGTGTGAACTAAGGGGATAAATTAAATTGGTAACCAAGACTGTACCTTGTAAACAGGTCCAAAACCACCTTCTCCTAACTTGTTTCTGTAAGAGAAGTGATTTGTTGCATTAGTGATGGTTGAAAAATCAAATATTGTTGCCAAGTCACCATCCTCCTTCTCCTTCTTGTGAAGTAACTTTTTTATACCTTCTGAAGTAACAATTCAAGAGATTTAACGTTAACAAAGTAATCAAACTTCAGAATTCATTTTAAGTGTAACTAATTCTTTTTTGCAACATTATTTTAGTACTATTTAAGCATATCATAAATATTTAAGATTTACTTATAAAAATATATCACCTGTATTACCAAGCTTCTTTTTAGATGCTAACGTGACCAATATAATAACGGTAAGTCCTATAATGAATGCAACAACTCCTGCAAGAGTACCAACACGCTTCAAGTTCCTCTTATTCTTTATATGATCTGGGATTGAAGTAAATGTCACTCAAAAAGCAGGCATATAAGCTTTATCAAAAAAAAAGAAGGAAAAGGGCATATATAGAGAACAACACAACTTTCATTTGGAAGTAGATTCATGATTAACTGTTCTTAGAAATAACTCAAGTATACACTTAAAACTGAAAATAACATGACTATTGTCATTTAATTTCATATTTTAAAAAGTGCTTAATCATATCAGGCCAAATGCTGAAATGTTATGCTATATGCCAAACTGGTAAGGCAAAAGATGTAAGAGGAAATGAAAATACCAAATTCTGAAGATGCGAGTCGTATGTAAATGTCTTGTCCTTGGTCTGGATGTCTTCTCATGTCCACAATGTTGTCAAACCAAAGTAAGCAGCCACTACCACCATATCTGATATCCAAATTTGCGTACGCAGAGCAAGAACAGTTTTTCAAACACACTGTCTTGCATTCCTCAAGGCTCAAGCTCTTGTCAAACCATGATGATGACGTATCCGGCAACTTCATGCTTCTGTACTTAAAAAATTCATCTCCATGTAGACAATTTAGATGTGTTTTCCTTACACACCCATCAGACCAATCGGATGACTCCCACTTTGGTTTAAATTTTGGCATGAAACCCTCCAAGCATTCACATATTGGAAAGTCATTAATATTGCAATTAGAGTTGATACCACACAAGACATAATTATCACATTGGTCTATAGGACGAGAAGATATAGCCTCCCAAATTTGTGTCCTATCTGACCATACAAGGCGTTGTGAATTTCCGTATGGATCTAGCACCAATCTAGTAATAGTTGAACTGTTCATAGTTTCATATTGATAAGAGAATTCTTTGTCAGTGAACACTGCTGAGAAATTCAAGACTCTATGCATTCTTTGCCAAGGAACACCAGTGAAAAGAAATCCATTCCATGACCCTCCTCTATACAGAACTCTTGATCCCTTTGCATTAACCAATTGAGGTAAACCATGTGTATCTATCCTATATGAACACTCACCTTCAGCCGGATCTTCAGGGCTTCTCCAAGATGTAAGATATCTATAGGGACCAGTAACTAAATTACTTTTCAGCTTCATTCCAGCAAGGAAAGTGTTACCAGGATAATCAAAACTTTCCCAAAAAAAGTTCACAGTGCTGTTGGCATCTTTCACAACAAGGTTTCCTGAATCTAACAACTGCACAACAGCTGGTTTCACCACAATTCTTGATGAATTGGAGGACCAAACAACGCCTTCCAAGTCATGAAGAATAACAAGATTTCCCTGATCATTGAGTTTCAGCAACCCTGTAGAGTTTTGTACAGGGGTGTCTCTATTGGCAACCCACACAATAGTCCTAGGTGATATGCTCTTGTACCATATACCAAAGTATTGGCGTTGTGGATCTCCAAAATTAAAAAATCCTGCTTCAAAAATTCGAGCTGCAGAAACAATTGTATCACTGTATTGGATAAATTGATTTGGAGCAATAGTAGTATAGGTGTTCCGTATAGAGAAAGTGGGCATAATGGAGCAAAAGAAGAAAGTACACACCATTAGAAGTAGCAGCTTATTATAGTACTCCATTGTGTTTGTGTGGGTTTGTCATGAGGATTTTCATTATATCAAATTCAAAATTCAATTAACAGGACTTAGTCATCCAAATGTTTCCATGTGCTAGCTAGTTTATGCAAGTATGTGGTGTATAACATAGTCTACTAAAATTGACCAAATAGTAATTCATTTATTTTCAAGTGAAGACTCTCTAGCCTTATACATAACATGGGTGATGGAAAGGAAAGGGAGGGTCAAAACTGGCAAAATTTGAAAAGTAAATTGACAATTAGCATTACCTCAAATTCAATTAGTATTAGCATCAGTTCCCATTACCCTATGACTTTGTTACGGCTCTGGCTCTGGCTATCCGTCCTTAATTAAAATGTTCTTGACTCTTACGTTTGCTTCAATTGAAAAGTATGATGTGTGGTTCTTGACTCAGCAGCAATGGTTAAAATTTCAAATAATCTCTATTTTTTGTGGTGTGTGGTTCTTGACTCAGCAGCAGTTTTAAGAAACATGAAGAGCATAAGAAATTGTTTGAACTGCAAGTTATTACAGGATTGCAGCTTCATACTCCCACCATTGAAAAAACAACAACAAGTTCCTCATCGATTTATATGGTTTTAGCATAAGTGTTTATAAAGTACAAATGGCCTAAATATACAGTTTCAAGTTTTGTGTAATGAATATGTGCTTATAATAGTTATTTTTATTTAATGGGTTTGTTATATAAATTAAAATTGAATTTAAAGTTGGTGTTTCGTTAATATTTCTTTCATTTATAAAATTGAACATGTATAATATTAATGAGTTTCTTTTTATTGTGTTTTGATTGCAATTCAAATTAAACGCTGCATTTTTCAATTCATTTTCATTTTTCTATTTCCAATACAGTAAATTGGAAATGTGAATTTATTTATTATAATATTAATATTTTTTTAAAGAGAGAGTTGGCAGTTACCTTTTTATTTAATTTTTGTTTTGTTGCAATGCATTATTATTTTAATTTCTCAGAACGGTCAAAATTGCCTTCATCAAATTAGTACTTGAAATAGTATTCAAAATTCGATATTTTTTTAATTATTAATCAATATTATTAATTATTGGTAATAGTAATTAAATAATAAATATTCAAAATAAAATAGATAAATAAATAATAATGTTTCAATAATATTATTAATTATTAAAATTATTTATTTATTAATAAAATAGATAAATAAATAAAACTATTAACCTATCTTAAATTTACAATACTGTAACACGTATTATTTTTTAAACTTCTAAAAACAATCTATAAGCCCTTTAGAATTTCAATAAATTCGTATTTGAAATCCTAATTTTCAAAATTTGTATCTATTTCTTCCTTATTATTAATAATTGTTATTAATTACTAATCGTACCTGATTAGAAGAGATTGTCAAAGTCCACAAGCTTCAAGTCGAGTAGTAGTTGAATATGAAGTGGGGGTATCTGCAAGACACTCTGATGTCAAAACAAAGTTCAGAGCAAAATGCAAGTAAGTGTGAGAGTATGAGTGATTGAATACCTGACTCTCTCGAGTGAGAGGGTACTTATAGCCCGCAACGCTAGGGGTGTTCGTGGTCCGGTTTGGATCGGTTTTGAGACATAATATCATCCGAACAAAATATATAAAGCATACGGTTTGGTTCGGTTTTTGGATGACAACAAGAAAAATTCAATCCAATCCAATCCAATTTATACGGTTTACTTCGGTTCGGTTGAATCGGTTTTATTCGGTTTTTAAACCAACACTATTTAGAAATTTAAAAAGAATATATTTCAATACCAGTTACAATTATGCCACCAACGCCTACTGAGACAATATCTAATTGCTATGTTCATATGGATATTTGATGTCATTATTGCAAAGTTTCATTATAATATATGTATAATATCTATCCCAACGAAATAGACATGACTATAATATATAATATATATGGAGATATGCTTAGTTCTTATATGAAGATTTGTATTATAAATTAAATATATGACAAATATATAAAACATTGAACAAATGAAGATTCCAAAGTTATATTAAAACAAATATAATAATAAAACTTCAAGAAAAATATCAATAACAGTGGACATGTGAAAGTTGCATCACAAGGAATATATAATAATAATATGACAAACTGCATTATATATAGAGAGAAGATCTGCTTTATATATGACAACATAATTGATAGTTTCAAAATCAGAGCCTGCAACATAATTGATAGTCAAATAACAAATTTTCTAATTATCCTGCAATAGCTCCACTCCAGCTTCACAATTCTACCCAATTCTTTTAGAATGCGGATATCAACAGCTAATCAGAGTCTATATCAGATACACCTTCATTCAATTGAGGGATTGGAGCAAGTTCTACAAAAATAAAGATAAATATTACTCAATATAAAAGATTAACAATGCTCAACAAAAAATAATATAAGTTATAAGTAAATTACCTAATTCCAAATTTTCTAACTCATCTACAAGCTCTTCAATATCCACTGACACCGATAAATATTACTCAATATAAAAGATTAAATGGAAGTAATACCGGTTCGGTTTGGACCGGTTCGGTTCTCATGAAGCCAACCGTAAACCGAACCGAACCGGTCGGTTATGCTACATGGTGATCCAAATACATCTAAAAAAATTCAATTTTTTTTTATTTCAGTTTTTTCGGTTCGGTTTTTGGATTTTTTTTGGATCGGATTGGATCTGAACACCCCTACGCAACGCTGGGCCAAGATCTTCATTGATGGGCCACGATGAGGCCCAACAACGAAGATTGTCAGAGTTTACAAGTGTATAGAGTCAAACATGTGACCTCCACCCTGGTCAACCGCCCCGAGAAAGCAGGAGTTGGACCCGTTATTCTCGGAGGGTAGGATGATAATGATATGGACACGTAAGTTGCGTTCTCCTAGTGGACACGTGGGGAAATGCCCAGCGGTCCTCACTTTGGGCTGCATGCTTTTGGGCCTATGGTAAAGGTGTTGGATTGGGCCTCTCCAACAGTGGGGCCAGTGTCGGCCCAGTCCAGAACAGGAGCTCCCAAGTTATTTTCCTTAGGTGAAAGAGTGATGACTTAAGTTGAGCTCAACTGTCGGGGGAAAATCCCATGAGAGGGGAAATTGCCAACCTTCGTCGGGGATGGCTCATTGACTCGTGTCGAGGATTCTGAAAATATGCATGCGATTTGGTCGACCAGATCAGTGGGCGGTCTATTGGTCGGCTTTCGTTCTGATATTGTCGGTTTGGTGCTTGTTAGGGATATACGATCATGGGATGCGAGGAGTTTCCCCGAGTAATCGTATTTGTCGTGGCCATCTATAAGGCGTTGCTATGATGTCGAGCGTTTACCCCACCTTCGGGAGTGAAACATCATAAGTGTGCCCACATGTAAGGCTTTGTCATAAAGTCACGCGTTTGCCTGCCACTGAGTGTGAAACATCATTGATGCGCCAGTATACAATGTTTTGTAATGAAGTCGGGCACGAGTTCGTCTTCAAGAGTGGGCATGTGGCTTCTTGTCAACCCCACGTGGCAACTGTTTGGGGTGCCATCTTTTCATAGGGGAGTCCAAAAAGACCTAAGTAATGATGACTTTTCGTGTGCTGCCTCGTGAGGTGTGAACTATCTATAAAAAGGAGAATTCATAGGCTCATTTGTCATTTTCAAACTCTCTTCTCCGCTCTTCTACCTTCGCTCGTGGATGTGCTCTGTTCTAACGCCACCGTAAATGTCTTCAAAGATAATCTTCTTCCAGTTAAGTTATATCTTCTTGATAACAATTTTTCTCATAATTTTTAGATTAAACACTTGGGTTTTGTCATGAACAGATGAATCCCTAGATGAAGATTCATGGGTTCTGAAGTGAATCTTCATGGATGTTCATCAAAGTTCATGGCTGTGGGATGAATGTTCATCAAAGTTCGTGGATGTGGATGAAGATTTATAGGTCTAATTCATAGACTCATGTCGGGGTCATCCTCCCTGAATAGTGGGGAGGATTTGGGCAATTTTGCTCGTTCGACCAAGTGTCCCTGCGCAGGGTGTTGTTCATTTCAGTGTTGTCTGTCGGGGGCTTGGGTCGAGGTCTATTCCTCGACGCATCCACCGCCCTTTCAATTGATTTATGGTAGAAGGGTGAATTTGATGATGTGGAATTCACTGTTTTCCCATGCTTTTCAAGTATGATGGCACACCAAGTCGAGGAAGACGCCATGCCCGCCACTCACGAGATTGATACCATTATCGCGGATGACCCTTTCGCTTGGGTCGCGCCCGAGCCTCGGAATAAAAAGTCGTGTTTTTCACAGGACGCTTCTGACGCGTTCAATGTCCCCGAGGTTCGAGCATAGGGTGCTCCTGCCAATTGGGCTCTTCAAATCCCTCACCGAAATAGGAGGATATGCTCGGCATACCCGGGCAAACGTTTTCCCATGTATGAGTTTGCTTTTAAGGAAGCGGGGATGTGTTTTCGATTCAGCAACTTCCAAGTGGGGGTTTTCTAATGGTTACAACTGGCACCTTCCCTGCTTCATCCGAATATGCTCACCTTCATGTGTGCATTCGAGATTGTATGATAATACCTTTAAATCAGTGCCATATTCCCCTTCTTCTTCTGCATCTTTCACTTGCAACGACAGTCCGTCGGAGGGGGACAAGCCTGGGTGTCATTTAAACAGCTCGGAAAACTTTTCCGGCTGTATCTTGAATCTGTTCGCCACATTAAAGAGAGGTACTTCGTCGTGAAGCCTCTTATAGATGCGGCTGTAGCTTCCTTGTATGATCTCTCGAAAGAAATTGAGGGGGGTCGGACAGTAGTCTGGCTAACGGATGGGTTTCCTCTTGAATAATAGTGGAAACACTTCGAGCAGAAACTCAGATATTACATGGTGAAACCCGAGGACTTGGACGCCCAGGATCAACTTTCCAATGACAAGCTGGTGGCTTATGTCAAGAGTTTCTCACCGGCGAAATGTATGGACGTGGACAATAACTTCCTTTTTGATGATAAAGGGGAGTATCTCCTCGTTCACAGACTGATTAATACAAAAGCGTTGCTTGAGTGATCTTCAGACGAGGAGACTTTGATACTTTTAGGTAGGGGATATGCCCGTGATTTTATTTCTTTATGTTTGTCTTGTGACTGACAGTTTCTTTTTTATTGCAGATCGGATGGCGTCCCTCTCTGAATGTTTACTCAAGTTAAGGCCCAAGAATGCATCCAACTCAGGGCCTAAGAATCGGGTTGCTCAACTTCAGGAGCAGGCCAAAACTTCTGCTCGTCTGATTTGTTTGC